AAATAATAATACTTAACAATTTCAATACATGACAATTTTACGTAAACAAGAATCTTAATATAATCACTCCAATAATAATACTCAATGATTACAGCATTGTAGTGATAATTATATTTCCATTTTTATTCATGTAAAATAATTTTGTATTGAAATTGTTGAGTATTATAATGAAAAAATATGGGTTTGAGTTTCTCAGAATCATTTAAACTTTAAATCCGAAAATTGCTATAATATTATTTTACTCAACAAATATTGCAGTTTGAAAGTATAGTATCAGACCATATTGTTCCAACTAAAAATACTTTTAACTATTATATAACTTGTCATTTCTTTCTGAAAAAGTATCGAATATGAAATTAGTATTGAAAAATTACTGTTTTAAACATTTTAAAATATTGAAAATGATTCTGATTTAACACACCATATACAAATAATATAATTAATTTTAAGATTGTAATATGATTCTTAATGAGTTTTTGGTCTTTCTTCCACATCCGTTTGATTTTTATGAAAAGTACTCAAAATTCGATATTGAGTAGCATCGATACTTATGCCACGATATTATTTTGGCATCGATATTTGACTGATGTACTTGTATACAAAGTAAACTAGCTGTAAGTGGAATTCTGTCTTAAGGCAATTAGGGCATCGTGCCTTAAGGCAAATTGCTGGAACTTCCCGTACCAAAAATTATTATTTTTTTTAAAAACGATTAAAATTGGAAAATTGAAAAAAAATTACTTTGAAAAAATAAGATTTGTGAGAAACTATAAATTGGACAAAAAATTACTTTTTTTTAAAAAAAAATTTTTTTTTAATTTTTATTTTTTTTTTAAGAAAAATGTTTTCTTTATTTTGACATATTTTGGAAGATCTAAACTTGTTTTTCAGAGCAATCGTACTGCTTTAACTGCATAGAGACGAAATATAAAGCGCGTAAGCGCGGCGTCGCTGTCTAACGGGTAAACATAGATACGGAACCCATAGGAAAATAAACAAAATTTATACTTATTGTTAAAATCTCTATAAAATATCTGAAAATTTGATGTGCATATGTCTAATGATCATTTTTGACCGCCAAATGGCATTTTTTTTTACTTTTTTCGTTATATCTCCGAAACCGCTAGACCTGCCTTTATGAAAATATGATCAATTTTTTATCTTGTCAATACAAGTAAAATGTTTTTTGAATTATTAAAATCGGACGCTCCGTTCTCTTAAAAACTGAGTTACCGTTTTCGGCACTTTTTGCCCCGTATCTCCGGAACGGCTAGACCTGCCTTTGCCAAAAACTAATCAGCACGTCTCCTTATCAATACGAATCGAATGTTTTTTAAATTATTCAAATCGGTTGATCCGTGTTCCCGAAATTGTCGACGAAAATTTGTATCCGCACATACATACACACACGCACACACACACACACACACACACACACACACACACACACACACACATACATTTTTTCTAAGGTATGCCAAAATATTCAGAAACCTCTGAAACGTAAAGATATATAAAAATTTTCATTTTCGATTTTTTTGCGATTACTATAACTTACCCTACGGGAAGTTAAAAAAAAAATAAATAAAAAATAAACAATATTTTGCTGCGATTTTTTTTAGTACTCAGTATCGATATTTTGCCGTGATACTTCTAACACTAATGACAACACACTAATAATAACTTAGAATCTTTTGTGCCCATTATTATGCTCATTAAAAAAATTGATCACCTTTTTTATTTATGATTTTTATTATGTTATCAATATTATATTGATATTGTTAATTAATTTTAACTTAACGAAAAAATTATGTGTGTTTGCGTATATGTGTGTGTGCGCCGATTTTGAAAATTCAAAAATTGAAAAATTCAAAAATAGAGGGAATAGTGTTATAGACCACGCACGAATCGAATCTTTTTTCAATTATTAAATACGAAAAATTAACCAACATATGAAAGTTACATGGTGACCATATTTTTTCACATATTAACCGTATGCTGTTTTATTACAATATTTATTAAAATTAGAGCTTTTATTTTTATAACACAATTTGGTAACTTTTTCTAAATCCTGATGTTGACATTTACAGATCTGAAATGTTGAGTTTCGAGTGACACGATAATTTTTGTTAGCAATTTGATTGTATACAAATTAGCGAGATATAATGAAATTTAGTACATACCATACTCCGTCATTTTGTATTCCAAGGCATACGACACAAATCAGTTAATCTGTCTCTCAAACCGCTCGACCTGACTAATCAAATTAAATGTTTTCTGAATTATTCAAATCGGATGTTCCGTTCTCTCAAAAATTGGATTCCCTGTCATTTGGAATCGAATATTTTTTGAATTATTCAAATCGGTTGGTCTGTGCGCCCGAAATCGTGGACGAAAAATTGTATCCACACATACGCACGCACACACACACACATACATACATCAATTTTTCTAAGATATGCCAAAATGTTGGCATAAAGATATGCAAAAATTTTCATTTTCCATTACAATAAAAATATCAAGATTTATTCACAGTAAGATATTCTAATGAATAACAAGTAAATAAATTGATTAGGACAACTACAAAAAATGTAGGTGTATTTAAAACTGATTTTTCGCTTTGTAACCTCAGTATATCGAGCAGGACTTATTAATAGATGACTTTTCGTACTTTCTCCGACATAAGTCCAAGCTATTCGAATGAATTATCAGAATCTCAAAAATATCTACCAACTGCACTCGGCAACGTGCATTCGGCAGAAAGTTAATTCTTAAATAATATTTAATATTTAACAAAATGATTATCAGCTAATTGAAGTTTTGCAATCAATTTTTGAATAGATTCTGAAGCAAGAAAATTTTTAAAAACTATCAATAAGTACCGGTACATAATAAATTCATTTTTCTTGATTCCAAAGTGACTGAATGACTTACGCTAATGAGGATTTTTTTTAATTACTATTAATTTAACAAAACTATTGGGTGTTTTATGAGCTGTTTCGAACGCTGTTTAATTCTAATAATAAGTTTAAGATGCTATGAGCAGGCAAATTCATGGATTGCCTAATTAACGGATATAGTTTGTATTATTAAATCTACACAAAAAGTTCTGATCGTTTGTGGAATAAAACTAAATACATTATTTTCACCAATAAACTTTATTGAATAATGTAAGTGCCTTTATCATTAATGATTTTTAAAATATGTTTCATTTTAGATATAAAAAATTGAATCAGTGTTTGTTTGACAAAAACGAGAGATAATCAGAAGTTGCACTGATGGAATGAATTCCACTTTTCATCCCTTCTTATAATAATCTGGTTAAAAAAACTGGATTTTGTTTAGAACAAGCAAATATGTGCAAATGACAACTCGAATATTCAAATATTTCCGACTTTTTCACGTGGCACGCATCTTGAATACAAATTTTCCTAATATGATCGGAAGTGATTTGTAGAGTTGAATTAAGCCTTTCTGCAATTCTGAATGTTGTCAGAAAAGGATTCTGCTGATAAGCAGTAATCTTGAAACGTTACTTTAACAACATCGTCGTCGGTCAATTTCCGGAACGGAATGGTAGGTATCACCTGTTTCCAATTTTTCGTACCATTTTTCACTTATTCTATCAGAAACTGTACCTTCCAAACACTTTTAATAAATTTCTTCGTGCTTCCGTATCATTTCTTCCTAGTTAAAATTTGATAAAATGCAGTGGAGTAAATGAACTTTGTTAGTTGCTACGGTTACACTATCGTTTCACACTTAAAACTAATGGAAATCAACTTTAGTATAGTTTATTTTTTACGTCAATATGTATACATTAAGCGATAAAAAAAGAGCCGACCATGCAATACCTGACTATGCAATAAACGTGGCGAAAATGATGTTATAATTTCGGATAGAACTTTCCGGTGGACCTAATATTTTTGAACGCAATGTGATATTGCACGAGAAGAAATTTTCACTTGAAATTATGTTTGAGATCTATAAACCCAAGTGGAAATTCGACATCATGCTGCCTGATGTCGAGCATGGTCGACGTTCCAAGGTCGGGATCGAACTCGGGATAAGTTCGGGCTAGCTTCACGTCCTTACCAATTACGCCACCGTTAAAATGGCGACTTTCAGAGCTATAAAATTCTTGGCTAGAATAAGATTCACACATAAAAAAAATCATAATGCAATATTGTAAATATGCGTAAAGTATGATATGCCAAAAAACGTTCATAAATGCAATAAAAAATCATACACTGAAAAAAGAATCCGCATCAATATTTATCTGAATTTGTTTTTTTTGTTTAACGACTATTGATTTCACGACGCAAATTAAAATTTACCCAACTTAATAAATATTATAATATTAATTATTATATTAAATTTTTAATTACAATTATTATACATGATCCTATAAAATTAACTATTAGAACAAAACAAAATTAAATTAAATAAATACATAAATAATAAATACTAAAAATAAATAAATAAATAAATATATAAATAAATAAATACTTATATAAATAAACATTTATAAACAATCGTTCTTATTCCAAACTCACGCTTTCGTAACGAGTTGCTGAATGTGAATTTTACATCAATAAAATAAATTATTTCAATGACAAACGTTTAAATCTATTGATTTTTAACTACTTTCAATAAATAGTCTGATCTCAACATAGGCATTATAAAAATAATTTTTCACGTTTTTAAGATTAATGATAGTAACCCAAATAATTATTTTTATAGCAATGAAAATATATTCTGTTGAAAATAGTTTTAATTTAGTTTGATTTTAGGCATATATATATATATATATATATATATATATATATATATATATATATATGGCAGTATATAACGTACATTCGATCATATATACCTTCACATAAGCATATAAAATAAATAAATAATTCATAATTCATATATATATATATATATATATATATATATATATATAATTGAAAATAATAATATAAAACAAAAACTTCATATTAGAAACTTACTGAACATGAAGTGTTGATGAATCTTCGTGTCTTTCAATTTATATTTAATATTCGTTGGTTTTGAAGATCATGTTTATCCAATGTGTGTATTCATTAGTTCTGCCAAAAATTTATATATTCAGTCATTTTCTTGCAAAACAGTTTGCATTTTAAATGACGGTCCACTAGTTAACAAAAAAAAGATCAATATATATTATTTAAAAAAAATTAATTTTAAAATTTAAAATGATAATTGTACGACAATGCTATTAGATAAGTTTCATAGCAATAATTTCACCCCATATCTTTATTCAATAACTTCAATAAATTGGAAAGAAAATAATAATTTGATATTAAATTCTTCTCGATATTTTCAATAAATGTAGTTTGAATTAAAAAAATAGTAAAAATTGGTAAAATTCAGTACGAAAGTATTGTGCTTGTTGTTTATATACTATATACATATTGTAACTTAAAACCACATGCTATAATAATGAGTTACAATTCTCGAATATTATTTTAACATTAGGACTATATATTCAAGAGAAGCATTGGATTTAGTGACATTTCTTATTGTAGGTGTTTATCTGTGATAAATATCAACAAAAATATAATACAGCGTCACCTCATAGTAAATATAACTATATAAATTTAAAATTGTTAACATATTCGATTTTATTCTCTTCAGAAGATCGACAATAAAAAATTGCGTTTTGTTACGGGAAGATTTACACTGGTATATTACAATGTAAACGGAAATTAATGGATTTTCTTCAAACACAAGTTTCTTGGAAAACAAGTTACCTAATAAGTTATTGGACGTTTTTATTGAAATAGAAAATAACTATTGATAGATCCTGTTAATCCTATTGGACATTCCGATTTTATTTCTATTAATTATATAGTTTAAACGTTAAATACGTTATTAGTTTCTGAACCACTTCAACATCTTGTGTCATAACTATTTAGTATTAGTAAATACTTATTAGAGAAAAATTACTTAACTTATATTTTTATTAGTCGAGACCAAATGTTATTTCCGTATAACAACCAATGCGTCAAAATAAAATATAAATTTATTTAAAATAATACAGTTTCGAGAAAAGAATGTGTCTCAATAATCAACTATATATATGTATATATATATATATATATATATATATATATATATATGTGAATTTATGCGCAATAATATAATAACGCTAAATAATCACTTCCTTAATTTATGGTTTCCTAAAACCACATTTACATACTTTAACTGCTCATATAGGAATTTTTAATAAGAAATTTTTATACTAAAACAATTCAGTTGATTCTATACTTACTCTGTGGTTTTCTCACCAAAAATTAATAATTTTTGGTTTAAAACGTTAGTTTATTTCTTAAATGATTTGTTCATTGTTGTTTTTCCTGGTTAGTATACATATTTTAATTTCTTACAAGTTGGTGTTAGTATATTATTATACTTTGTATACTTTTTAGACGAATGACTGAGAAGACAAATTTTGTTCTCAAAAATTAACAATTTCAGATAAATCTATATTTTATTTCGACGCGGTGGTTGTTAAATAAATAAATAAATAAATAATGTTTCAACGTCAAACAAAAAACCTCATATATATGTATTTTTGTTAGGGGGTCTTTAATATGGATTTTATTGAATTTCTTTGCTCTCAGGGGTTCAAATGCTTCCAAATTGATAAACAATTCTTTGAAAGTTTTCTATCTCAATATTAACTTTAAGATAGTCCGCACTCCAACCAAATTTCTTACGGAAATAACATGGGTAAAATTTCATTTGTTTTTTAATTATCATTTAGCGGCAAGTGAATCAAAATTTTGAGAATAATATTGTATTTGCTTATTTCGATCACAAATAAAAAAATACAACAAAAATTCGATATATTTCATAAAGTAAGTATTAAATAAAGTATAGGCCTCTAATATTTTACCACGGTCAGTTTGGGCATCAAATCTACCATTGTGCCAAGTTTCATCAAAATCTGAGACGAGCAACGCGCGGGTTCTCCTTATTAGAAAGATAAACCAAGAAGTTTTGGTTGGAGTGCGACTATCTTAAAGTTAATATTAAAAGCTGAAACTTTCAGATTTTTTTTTATCAATTTGGAAGCGTTTGAGGACCTGGGACGAAAAAAATCAAAAATATCCATATTAAGGACCACCTGGGTAAATACTATGCAATATTTAAATACTGCATATCACAGTAGTGATTTCATTCCCTCCCATTCCCTATATATTACAAATCTTCTCCCATCAGTGACTATTACTCACCAAACAAATATTCTTTATCCTGTGATTTAGATCTTGTGTGATGATTTCACAAATGCGCACCGTTTTTATGGCAATATCTCAAATGCCTTGTATACTTATAAAAAACGGCTGAAATTTAAAAAACTATACAAACTATACAAATTAATCTAGATTCACGTGAATCGCAAGTATCTCGCCTGCACCAGTTTGTTAATGTCATTAAATGTTGTTATCATGGCAGGACTGCTTCCGTCTTCTGGGAGCATTGTGCAGTCGGGATGAGCTTGAACACAATCCTCGCCATCCTGGCCATCCTTGGCGGCCTTCATGTATTTGAAAAAGCGAAGAATCTCAGTATTGTTTGTCGTCGGTTTCCTTAGCTCGTTTAGTTCCCTTCAAATATAATAAGAGATTAATACTTATTTATATGACAAATATATCCAAACCTCTCAACCAAATATAATAATTTAATACTATTGTATTATACATAATATAATAATTTAATAACAATAGTAATAATACTATTGTATTATACATAATATAATGATCTAATACTTATTGTATTCATCATTTTGTTGCTTAAAACGAGACTAATTTTTCCTTCTGAAACAATCATTGTGTTGTATCTATTAATGGATCAGCTACGGATCTTCTTACATGCAAAACAGACCTCTATTGATAAAATAATTTTGATATTTGCATGTATTATTTTCTCTAATTAAAGTTATTTTTACGGCTAAGATGACTTTTTTGGTTGTTGAAGACTTAAAATTTAAATGATTTATATCCATATGTCGTTTACTATCGATCATATTACAAATAGATTTAATCCGTCCCAATCTAACTATTCCATTAAACAAATACACCTGAACAAGGAAAACATGCCAGTGATCACCAGTGTCACCAGTTTTATTACATTTGGTCACCAATCTTGAATAGAAATTAAACTCAAATACAGCAGTACATATTTAGCTAAAGCCAGTTTCAAAAATTTTCTGATTAGTAGAATCCATAGAAATGTAAAGAAAATTTGTACTTATTATAATCTCTATAAAGTATTTGATAATTTGATGAGCATATATCTAATGATTATTTTTGACCGCTAGGTGTCATTTTTTTAACTTTTTTATAGAATCTCCGAACCTTCTAGACCTGTCTTTCTAAACTAGGTCTTCAATTCGTCAAACAAGAAAAATGCTTTTTGAATCATTGAAATCGGACACTGAGCTATCTCATGAACTGAATTACTATTTTTGGTATTTTTGGTGCCGTATCTTGAAAACGGCTGGACCAGCTTTTCCCAAAAACTAATCAGCACGTCACCCCATTAAGAGGAATCAAATATATTGTGAATGATTCAAATGGTTTGGTCCGTGTTCTCAAAATCGTCGACGAAAAATTGTATCCGTACATACACACACATACATCCATTCTCTCTAAGGTATATCAAGATGTTCAGAAGTCTTTGATAAGATAATATAAAGATATATAAAAATTTCGATTTTCAATTGTTTTGAGATTACTATAACTTAAACTACAGGAAGTTAATAAAAAACATATTTTAAATATTATTTTAGGGCATCTTTACGCTGTATCAATTTGTATCATATTTGAAAAGCTCAAAGATTTGTCTACAATATATACCTTTTTTATACGATTATATTCCGAATCAATAAATTTGAAAATTTAAAAATAATATTTTATTGAATGAAAATCAAGTTTATAAAAAAGTCCAATATTTATCTTGTATTTGTATATAAAACTGTAAGGCTCTCAAAATTTAAATTTAAAAAACAATAAATCTTATTGTTTCTATATATAACGCTGAATATTACAATTACCTGCTTAGTTGTGCAGAAACCAAGTTCGAATACGGGGCGTACTTTGCTGGATTTGCGTACATCAGGCAAATCGTGCGCTCCCTGCACGCCTCGGTGTTGTCCAGTCCCAGTTGCTGGAAGACCGCATCGAGCCTGGACAAAAGCGGACTGTAGAACGGATCGTAACTGGCCAGCAGTTGCGATGAGGCCGGAATGTCATGGAACAGCTGAACAAAATATAAGACGGCCATAAGCATTACTAAGCACCATTAGTAAGTAATAATCAAAATATTACTAAATTTAAATATCATTTAACAATATCATTAATAATTATCAGTAATTAATCAATTGTCAATAATTGATAAGCTATATTTTAAAATTACTACACATTTTTTCATAATTTGTGATATGTTTATGTATTAGCAAAGATAATTTTGTACTAATTTTTGAATAGATAAAGTTTTCATAATATGGTTAAATTTACGAATTGTTAAAAAACTCGTGTGGTTTTGATAAATAATCAAAGTACATGGCCAGAGCGCGAATGCGGAAGTGCACATATGTCACGCCCTATACCTAATAAATAGAATAGTGATCGTCCATTGAATTTAGTGAGTCTTAAGAGAGAGTCCAGAGTAGTCTTAGGATATCTTAAGAGAGAGTCTAGTCTAGAGTAGTCTTAGAATATCTTAACAAGAGATTTATCTGTCGGAATTTGTAATAAGAAATTATAAATTAAGTGTACAGTTCAACAAGTGGATTTTCTATTGGATCAGAAGCAAGAACATATCTCTTTCAGATTATATCTTACTGAAAGTAATCACGATTCCGAAGAGATCTATTTAACAAACCAGTAATTCAAACTTACTCCTACTGCTCGACCCAACGCACCAGGAAAGGGTTGGATGGATTTACTACCCAATTGGATAAAGGATCTACCTGTAGTTACAACTATTCTGGAGTGTGGATCAACCCAACATTGGACCCCAACCATACCTAGACCTCCTACCAACAACTTATATCATTTCAATATCTTATGATAAATGTACAGCATTTTAAATCATTTATAATTAAATACGTATAATATAAATTAAAATCATTTATAATTAAATACCGCACAAATGCCAAAAAAAATTCTTAGATAACAGGGTCTTTCTGACACAGCTTCACAACGTACGAGTAAGAGTTTATGTGTAAAATTACCAGAATGCACAGTAAATACATGACATTTTGGCAGTATTCAGTATTATTCAGTAACATAACGAATGGAAGTTGGAGCGTAACATGGCCATAACATTTTCAGACCAGTTACGTTAGCTTCATGAACACATTTTGATTGAACTCATTAAATACTCACGATAAATTTCTTACATGTAATATATCATTGAAAATATTTAAGTTTAACATAATGTATGTACAAGTCTTAATAAACAATCATGCAAAGTTCCAACGATGTAGAAGAATATTGTGTCCGAACAGCACCATCGGAGACTCATCATCGTTTCGATTTGTGATATCTTATATTATTATAAGACTATTTCCAAGACGCTCTCAATAAATCAAAGAAGTAAAAAAAACTTTCTTAAAAGCGATTACCCGTTCAATAACAAAGATTGAGACAAGATATTTACATCTTTTCGTTAAAATAAGAAAAGATGAACTCAAAACATATTGTTGTTGCCTTGAATTATTATTAACATACACGATTATTGATGTAAAAATTCAATAATAGGCTGGTTCGTATGCAAACAATTAGAGTGACAGAATTTGAATCAGAAGACCCGGGCTTGATACAGTCGATTTTCACTTGGAAATACAGATAGGAATATGTCCAAGTGAAAATAGGTCTCACCCCACATTGAAGTACCAATAAAAGTTCATCACTTTTACACAAAATGTAAAAATAAAATTTCCTCACATAGGAATGGAACAACTGTTTGGCCTGCAATCTATAAAAAAAAAACGGTGGTTTGTAGAAATTTGTAACAACAGCTTCTAGAACTCTGAAGCTATGATTGTTATTCAGATATAACAAGTCAATAATACCACTTTGGGAATACATAATGTTCAACAATAAGATCAATTAATCTCACCTTATAATTATCTTGAGATTGTGGTTTCCGATTCATGTACATGTCTTCAGATCCCTGGTATCCAGCTCCAAATCTGCTAATTGCTTGTTGGTTTTTGTCTCCATTCGCATTGACGTATGTTTGTGCAGGATATAGATTTTGGCTCTGCAAATCGCCCATTGCCTGGGGGTACCCATATTCGGAGGCTGGAGAGCCGTATCCTTGCTGCAGCTGCATCAATGATATAGTGTCGGAATCCTGCGCCGTCGGTGCGTTTACTTTGAAATCTAGGTCTTCCACAATTTGGTTCTCATTTGCCGTAGACTGAGATAAGCTCGATAGTGATGACACACCTAAACGTAAACCATCATAGTAATTCGTTACAAAAAATTTAAAACTAATTTCGAATCTTTAAGAACACAATAAAATGGTTGCACAATCCACATAGAGTTGCAAAAAGACACATAAGTACTATTGGTAATTTTAAACAATTATTATATTAAACTCTTGCTCAATTTTACATGGATCTAGAATACTTAATAGTACATGCAATAAATAAAAACGATGAATTTAAATAATGAATAAAAATTGTATTTAATATAATCATATTTAATTGTAAATCATACGTTTCAAAAATAAAGTGATCAGAGATATATCTGCACAAAATGCTCTTGATATACCTGCAACTACATTAGCACCAAAGAATGCCTCCATAGTTGTGAACGTGTATTATATGTGAAGCAATAAATAATTTATTTTATACGTATAGGAAATTAAAAAATACATACAACACAACTTAAAATTTTTACCCCCCTACCACAAATCCCTATTTCATAACAGCAATTTTTTATCTAGCTCGATAACTGATCAATAATTGTGTTTTTTGTAAACGTTTTTCATTGAATTTCGATCAAAATTAAATAAAGTAAAATAAAAATTAAATTGTCTTAATAAATATGCAGGGTTGAATTATCTTCTATTTGTGAATGAATTTCAATTTATTTCAATTAAAATATTCCTTACATAGCGGAAAAGCTAAACTTTTCATACAATAATAATTTATCCTTAATCCAGTTATACTTAGAGCTTTACCAGATAATAATGTACAATTATTGTAAAAAATTGAAAACGTTGAATATTCAAATCTGAAGACATCAGTTTTTGAGAGGAAATTAGGTACCTTACAAACCTGTTGGAAAACTGATTTTTTTCACTTATATATTAAATACTGCCCTTTAACTTATATACTAAATATTACCGCAACTAAAAACATTTAGTTTTAATACTAAAATTTTTCTAGAACTACTGTAAGGTTTAACACTGTTTGCTGAGCCAGCTAGTATATATATATATATATATATATATATATATATATATATATATATATATATATATAATATGTAAATTTTAAGTTTACCTTTTCCGACAATTTTGCCGATCGATCCTAATATGCTGGGCAGGAACATTGCTAGCACAACACTTTTCAATATTTGAGCACCAATGAAAAGCGGAAACATTAGTTTCTTTAATCCAAACACTATAAAACAATCAAAATATTAGTATCATTTGTTCAACACTAATTTCAAAAGTCTGTATCGAATACTAATATATTATAAAGCAATCTCATGTAAAAATATATAGCTACTTTATTAGTTTATCTGAAAATACAACATAGTGAAAATAATAAATTATAATATTAATTATATATATATAATAAATAGTAGAATTTAATTTTGAATTTTGCATCAAACATAAACTGCATCTGCATCAAACCCCATCAAAATCACATCCACAATATATATATATAACATTAACTTTAGCAACAAATAAGCCCTTTAGAAATTTGGTCACACTCGATTCAGAATGGTTTGAAACGTCGAGAAAACAAAATTATCGAACCGGATTTTTGGGCGAAAACATGAACTCTTTCGGAGAGTTAATAATCTTCAAAATATATAACTAATTTATATTATAAAAAATATTGAAACTAAATGTCAAAAATCTTATATGACAAAATATTAAGATTATTTTATTTCATATTAAACTTTGTTTGGTTATTCATTAATTAATCTAATAACAACAATTCAAATTGAAACGATTGAACATTTAATTATCGATAATATTTCAATAAGAGTAAGTGAAAGTTGAAGTAATATTAGACTATGTACTGCCACTTAAATTCAATCAGAACATTGCACTCTTTCATTTTCTAAAAGCTTTTATTTACACAAACAACATTCTAGATAATTTCTTTACAAGAAATTTCTTAGACAGCAGCACGTTTGATGGATTACTTTTCTCATTTATTTAAATATTGATTATTGAATAATTTAATTTGCTGCTCTTGGTAAGCTCTTTGATGTTCTAAAAATATGTTAATAGCTTTTTAAATTTCTCATTATATATTTCAATTCAATGGTAAATGCATAAAACGAAATATGATATTCTTTGTAGTTTTTTTGTTAATTTTATACCGCCTTGAAAAAGATCCGCAATGATCAAATTTATGGTCCAATTCTGCTGCATAACAGACTAAAGTTATGGCAAGGCTATGTTATGAAGAACTTTCCATACTAAATATTAAAGAAGCCATGTAGTTGTTATACAGTCAGGCGCATTTCTTAGGTTGTCAGATAGAAAACCTAACCTAGAAACCGCACAAATGTAAAAAAAAACAATGTTTGATATCAGGGTCTCTTTGACTCAGAATCATAACAAATGAGTGACAAAGCAGTTTATGTGTACAACGTCTGAATGCACAGCAAATACGTGACATTTTGAGAGTATTCAGTATGATTCAGTAGCATAATGTATAGAAGTTGAAGCGTAACATGGCCTTGCCATAACATTTTTCTGTTATGCAGCAGAATCGGTCTCTTAATTTCCTGGCACTAAAGAATATGGCAAAATAAAAAATAATATTGCATTGCACATATAGCAACTATTTTTTTTTAAATTTTTGTATGTCGGTCTGTTTGTTCCTAATCTCCCAAACGGCTGAATAAATTTTGGTGGAGTTTTTATTAGTAGTTAGATGTCCATGTAATGGGGGCGGGGGGAAATAATCAGCTACTTTTATTTTAGAAAAAAGAATCTTATCTTATACCTCCTAAATGTACCCTCAATTTTATCTGCATGAAATTTATCAAAAAAGTTAATTAGGTTATATAATTTTTTTATCTAATATATATACATAAATCAGGAAGCAAGGAGTTGTTATTTTTATAATTATGATGATATATTATAATTTATTAGTAATACCGAAAAGAGTTATTGCTACTTCGGAATATGATCCTTATTTTAGTAAAAATGGATCACTACTGCTTAACATTAGGTTGTTCAAAATACCGTTAATGAAAAAATCGTTGTAAATACTATGACAAAAACAAAATTTTATTTGCTTTAAAATAACTTGCCACAGATTTACATGTGTATTATATGTTTAAATAAATGAAAAGTCAAATGCATAATGTGCAAGTTATAATTAACTAGTTGGTATTGGTATTTTGCCTTGAGGCAAGTTACATGTACTTCCCGATATGTGTGAATAATCGATTTAATCAATAAAAAATAAATTAATTTATGAGTGATTAAAAGTATTTCGAGTGGATTTATTACACATCATTGAAAACGAACGAACACTTTAACTCGGAGTATTTTCTAAAAGCAAATTTACAAAAATCAATAATTTTTATAACTAAAGCAGTTTCCATAGGACTATAATGATTTAGTATGTTCAATAAGACCAAGTCCTCTATCGTTATACCAGTAAATCGTCTAATTTTAATTTTAACTTTGATCAATTTTTAAAATTAAACTACTTGTCGTAAGGCAGTAATATTTAAGTAAGTTCTATAAGACCATGATATATATCGCCAAAAAAAGTTCCATAAAAATCGGCTCCATTTTTTTTCAATAGTTAATTACAAGAAAACGGCTCGATAGATTTTTACCTAAAACTAATCAGTATCATTTCCAACTAACATCTTTCGAACAGTTTTTGATTTTTTAAAATCGGTTCGATAGTTTGAGTTTAAATGTGGACAAAAATTTAACACTTTTTTTTCAAATTAAAAAAAAACGGCTGGGCAGATCGTCAAATCGAAGTTAAAACCAGGTATATCTTACATCGGAACTATGTTTTGAAAATCAAGAATCTCATAGTATAATTCTGTTAAAATTATTATTTTTAAATAAGTTAAAATTATTATTTTTAAATAAGTCGATTTTTTATATTTTTGATAGTTTCATAGTATTCCTAATATTGATACTTATAAATGTGCGGCACATTTGTGCCACTAAGCTAAAAATGCAAATTTTTTTTATCGGGTTAGCCAAAACTATTCGAGTTGTCCGTTACCATTTTATCTTAAACTAGAATTCTTGGCTAAATGCGTGTATATAAATGAATGAGTTGAATGCAAATTCTGACCTTTAAAGAAGAGTCTCCCAGTTTCCGAAATCTTGGTATTCAGTACATGCTTCTGCACGTAGTCGGTGACTTGCTTGAAGAAAGCGTCGTCGGAAGCGCGCGCCTCGCCTCGAGATGAATTCTCGACGCCTCTCGCCGTTTCGCTCTCACGAAGGATCGTATGACCAGGGTCCGTATGGCCCTTTTCTAAATCCACAAAATCTTTCACATACAGAAGCACATCTTGCTCAATGTTGGAAAAGTTCATACTTCTTCCTGATTCCATATCATCACTGCTACGTTGAACACGGTTCAAATTGTTTAACATATTTTCAAGTTCTAACAAATCTATCGATCGGTCACTTTCACCCATTTGAACACCATCACTAAATTTATTAAAATCTACACTATTCACAGATCGTACGATAAAAACTATTGAAACTATAAGAGTAAATATTGATTTCACGAAGTTCGTTTTTTCTAGGTTGGCCATTTTAATATTACGAAGTATTTATATTTTGAAATCTTGACGTCGAAATTTTAAAAGTCACTCATTTAAAAAACACATCCCAATTTGTATACTCCCATCTGGATGATCTGTAAAAATAAATATATTGCATTATCATCCATAATGACTATATTATAGTAATTATAATATTGTGATGGCTCTGACACGATGAACCTGCCTTCGGGCAGACTACCATTTATTATTATTATTATTCATTACCCATTTAATATGTTGTAATACCATCTGCAGTTAATTTATGATTAACAATTTTAAAATTATTTTAGTTTCACAATAAAATGTACTTACAAAAATTCTATATGCAAAAATTGCTTTCATATTTAAATTAGTATTTTGTCAAAGTAATTTATAATGTATAAATTACTTTGACAAAATATTATACTTTTTATATAATGATTACATCTTAATTATAAAAATTCATAATATCGCTAATACCAAAAATAATACTTATAGTTAATAAATAAATATTACACAAAATTATTTGATAGAATTAAACAATAAACAAATTACAATAAATAATGAATGATTATTTTGATACTGGTAATAAATACATATACGTATACTGTACGCATAAAAATATGCACTTCATTATACATTAGGTGAAATACAAAATGATATATTTGGTCAAAATGACACAGTGCCCTTATTTAAAAATTGGCTGGTTTTATTAATAATGTTACCACGACTGTATAACATGACTAAAGCCATGATCAAAATCCTGTCAGATGTTGATCGTCATTGTCGCAGTCTTGTCGCAGTGATCAGTTCAAAAGTGTATCTCGTCTTCAAAAGTTTATTTCAAAGGTGGTTTTATCACTTTTTTAGGACCCATTCATTCATCGTTATTAAAAATCAACGAGGTTATGCTAGTACTAGTGTTTTCGATCAATTTTATTGCAATTACCAGGTGTTTGATGAAATATTGATTATTTATTCGTTTTTGTTCAATTTCAAACAAACTGGCAAAATACTATTTCGAAAGAACTACAGGTAGTTAATTCAAAAACAAAAAAAAAAACAAAAATTGAAGCATGTCAAAAGTAATTGCCCCAAAGTGAATAACATGCCCCATAAAAATTAGCATCTTTGGTTATTAGTCCTTATCATATATACGATTTTATCCATTCAATATGGACACAAAATAGTTATTGTAATTAGTTGCAATTTTTCCCAATAAATATGTTATTATAGTTCCTACTTCGACTACGCTGCTGGTAGTCAACGAATCTAAGATGAGGAAAACGGTTGAGAGTGGTTATAATAATAATAATAATAAAATAAATATAATTAAAATAACTAAATATATTAAAATAACATGTCACTTGGTCCGCACTTCCCCTATTTTTGTATAGTAAATAAAAAACAAAAACAATTTTAATAGTAGTCATTATTTGCGATGTTCCGGAATTAGTGAATTACATAGTCAAGATTTCTGTCAAAAAAATATATAAAAATATTAAAATTATATTACTTTTGTACACTTTTCTTTTTTATTTGGATTCACAGTTTTTAAACTTAATATATATATATATATATATATATATATATATATATATATTTTATTTATTTATTTATTTATTAAAAAAGACAAAGATTATTTATTTATTAAAAAAAAACAATATCAAATAACTAATTGATTATTATGATTATTTCAAATATCTCTAAATACATTCATCAATATATTGGTAGCAATTCATGTTGTACAAAAAATTTGGCTCACTTGAAATTCAAGATCAACTTGCAAATATATGCTAATAAATAGTAAAAACATTTTGCACGTATAACATCGAAAGCGGTCAAATTCAGAACGTTAGTGAAAGATGAAAGGAAAAATATTATTCCGACAATGAGAAATTGTTATTTGCAATTACTTGATAATTAAATAAAGTAAAAGCAAAACTCAATATGGTTGATATAATAAAGATAAAATTCAATAGCAAAAGTATATTCTTATACGTTCATGGTCAATTACTAATCATCGTACCATATCCCAATTACTAACTTCACTAGAGAAAGCTGAATTCCATTCAATCATATCAAAATGAGCAAGATGTTATAACAACATCAAAAAAATCTTTGGCTAACATTTGATTCATTTAAATCAATCACTGTTCGATTTAGCTACAATGTAGTATGAAAATTTAACAATAAGGCAATGACTAGCTGAATAAAATATTATTTTTGAAGTGTCTACTTATTCATTCTCAATTAACCTGATTATGTATATAGTTTCATATTCTCTTTTATAGCTTAAAGGATGGATGAAATTTTTAGTACATACATCAAAAATCTTGTATCATGTTCAAAATCGACTGCGAGTTAAGTAAAGTGTGCCATAACTAACGTGAACGGCAATAAAATTATCATACATTAGTAATAACTAAAGATTGGAATTTGAATCCGCGCTGATACTTCAGCAATAGAAATTTTTATATTTAATCCATATTTTTGGATTAAATCCTTATATTATAAAATTCATCCAATAAATAATTATTCACGCAAAAAGTAATTATTTTGTCAATTGACCGTTTTTAAAAGTGAGGAAAGATTATTTGATAGGATTTGGTATTCAGAATCATATAATTTGCAAAATATATGATCCTAAATCCAAAAACTATAATTAATACTGCACCAACATACTAAAGACTAGTGGTGCATGGCATCACTTCACCTTAAAGCAAATTGCTGAAACTTCCCGTATCGTAATTTAAAGTTTTCAAAAGCTTTAAGATAAAGAACATAGATTTTTTGCGATTACTTGAAAAAAATCGATCCTTTTGAAAATTTATATTTATATTTATGAAAAAAATTCCATTATTTAAAAAAAATGATTTTTTTTTGAAACTTTGATTTTTCATATCGATCCCGTAAACGTCGACGAAATATTGTATCCGCACATACATACATACATACGCAGGCACACGCACCCATATATAGACAAGTGATATTCGGAAATAAGAAGAGCAATAATTAGAAGATAAGTATAATTTCAGAGAGGAAACAATAGCATTCTAGATCCTCCCCCAGAAAGTATTGCCTAACAGCGGTTTCCGTGGGGTAAAAAATAACATTTTTAGGATACGTCAAAATTTTCAGAATAGTCTTACAGCTGTAAGTCTGTAAATACTTGTATAATGACACCCTAAAGTTGCCTCAAAACCTACATATAGCATCATACTCAAAACCTATCATATGTAGGTTTTGAGACAACTTTAGGATGTAATATACAAAGATTTACAGACTTACAGCTGGGTATCTCGCATTCCGAGATTCTTACCTAATTTAAGCTCAAATGCATGGACTAGAAACTTTGAAACGTAAAAATATACAAAAAAATTTCAATTATTTTGTGATTACAATAACTTAAGCAAATGGACGGGGTTGTGAGTTTGAACCCAGCTGTGGACAACCTGAGATCGTGCAGCAGCGATGTCACTTTCACTTTACAAAAATTTGTTTACTATTGCAAATAGCCCATTTTGGGCACTGCGGCGTGAAACGGCAATGGGATATCTCTCACACTATTCTACTCTGAATCGAGTTGGAGTAACGTTTTCTATGGCAGTATTACAATTTACTGTAACTTACTCTATGGTAAGCTAACAAGGCAAGTTATCATGCAAATAAATCAATTCATGCAAATAAAATTGGGGAAATTTTAATTTATTAGAAATTAATATAAATCATTTTCATATCAGGTTAATTCTTTGTAACTCGTTTATTAGGTTGTAAGAGAAATCTGTGAAAAACAAACAGCCGGAGAGACAGATAAGCATCCACTGACAACATTCCTTCACACAATTTCTCATACTAATTACTAATTATTATAATCGTCCAAAAATCGAAATTGAAATTTTTTGCATTTATTCACGTTTTGAAGGTAACTGAACATTTTAGCATACCTTAAGAAAATGGATATGTGTGTGTGCGTGTGAGCGTGTATGTATGTATGGATACAACTTTTCGTTCAGGTTTTCGTGCGCACGGATCAACCAAAATGAATTGGTTCAAAACACTTTTGATTGCTATTAATAGGGAGATGTGCTGATTAGTTTTTGGCAAAAGTCGATCCAGCCGTTTAGGAGATACGAAGCAAAGAGTGCAGAAAATAGAAATCAAGCTTCTGAGAGAACGGAGCATCCGATTCGAATGATCCGAAAAACATTCAATTTATAATGATGAGGAGCAGTGGTTGCTAGATTTTGGCAAAGGCAGGCCCAGCCATTTTGAAGATATGGAGCAAAATAATGCAAAAAATGGCAGTTTTTGAGAAAATAAGCATCTGATTCGAATGATTCATAAAACTTCCTGCTTGTGTTGACAAAACGATTGTTTTTGAATATCGAAAAATAATTCAGACTTTCAAAATTTTAATTCGGTACGGTAAGTACCAGCAATTTGCCTCAAGGCACGATACTTTTTTAGTTTGCTATTTACTACATTTACTTACTTTATTTTCTATTTAATTGATTTACCATACCTATTTCATTTAAATTAATTCAGCACGAAAAATCCTACTGCAACATTTTAAAACATTAATTTAGTAATTTACATATATCCTCAAAATTACTAAATGTTTTTTCATAGAGACAGATTGTAATTAAATAAAAAAAATAGAAAAGACAGATGACCATAACGATATTTTTAGGTCCAAACAAGTGGTGACACATATTAAATATTATTCGAGAGTACATATTTCGTGTCACTGACATCTCGACCGGAAATTCATTTCACAAATCACTATACATATATACGTGTGGGTTTTTTACAAACCGCGAGTACTTTCTTTTAGCAGTGATAAATTTGACTTAATTCAATAAATTAGCAGGTTTTTCAACAAAAATAAAAGTTTTTTTTCGATAATGAATTCAAATGTTTACTCAGCCATTAGCTGTTAGTAAATATAACGTATTAGTAAAAATTTTGTTAAATTACAAAGACTGAAATTACACTACGCGTTGTATTAAACAAAAATTAGTATGTTAAAAAAATGATGATCGTGTTTTGAAAAATTTGAATAATTTGTTATGCATATGCCTAATAATAAGGTGATCATACGTCCCGGTGTGGC